AGTTTGAAGGGAAAACATTTGTTCTCATGTGTATATAAATTCTAATATATCTTTTTAAATTTTTNAAGAGATGATTGAAATAGGCAGATAGCCTCCAGATATTACAAGTTTGAAGGGAAAACATTTGTTCTCATGTGTATATAAATTCTAATATATCTTTTTAAATTTTTAAAATAATAAAAGTAGTGCCATTTATAATAGCTCTAAAGAAAAGAAAATACTTGGATATAAATCTAACAAAACATGTATAAGATTTATATGATTAAAAACTACAAATGACAATTTAAAAAATCAAAAATGACCTAAATAATTGGAGAAATGCACCATGTTTATTGACTGGAAGACTCAATATACTAAAGATGTGAATTCTCCTTAAATGGATCTATGTTTATTGCAATTCCTATAAAAATTCCAGCAGTTTTCTGTAGACATAGATGTTTATTATAAAATTTATATGGAAGCAGGGACTGTAGAATATACAAAACTACTTTGAGAAAGAAGAAAGTCAAGTGGGAAGGAATCACTCTTCCTAATAGTAAAGCTAACTAGACAACTACAGTAGTCAAGACAGTGTGGTATTGACAGAGGGACACACAAGCAATGAAACAGAACAGAGAACCTAGGTGTAGACCCACACAAATATGCCTGGTTAATTTTTTTTTTTTTTTTTAATATGTCTTTATTGACTTCAGAGAGAGGAAGGGAGAGGGAGAGAGAGATAGAAACGTCAAGGATGAGAGTCACCGATCGGCTGCCTCCTGCACGCCCCCTACCCGAGCCCACAACCCAGGCATGTGCCCCAGACTGGGAATCGAACTGAGACCTCCCGGGACCACGGGTCAATGCTCAACCGCTGAGCCACGCCCGGCCGGGCCTGATTAATTTTTGACCAAGGTGTAAAGGAAATTGGGCAAGTAAGAGCCTGTTCAAGAATGGGGCTGGAGAATGAACATCTAAACCTCACACCTTATGCACCTAAAACTCCCTACTTTATTCTCACACCTTGTATAAAAACCAGCTCAAAATGTATCAGACTTCTATGTAAAACATGAAACTGTAAACTTTTAGAAAAAAATAAGAGAAACTCTTCAGGGACTTGGACTAAGCAATGAGGTCTCAGATTTGCTAGTGAAAGTACAATTTGTAACAGGAAAAATCGAATATATTTGACTTTACCAAAATTAAAAACTTTTGCTGTCTAAAAAACTCTGATAAGAGAATGAAAAGACAAATTACATGCTGGAATACAATATTTGCAAATCGCCTGCCCAACAGGGGATTTGTATTTAGAAATGAGCCTCTATGCCAACGCTACGGAGTCTTAGAGTGTAGTTTAACATGTCACATATATAAAAAATAAAGTTGTTNAGAGTCTTACAGAGTGTAGTTTAACATGTCACATATATAAAAAGTAAAGTTGTTGTCAGTAAGCCCTGCAGACACATGACCATACTTCTTCTTCCCCAAGGCAACAGTATCGCCCGAGGAAAGCGGNGGAGTCTTAGAGTGTAGTTTAACATGTCACATATATAAAAAATAAAGTTGTTGTCAGTAAGCCCTGCAGACACGTGACCATACTTCTTCTTCCCCAAGGCAACAGTATCGCCCGAGGAAAGCGGGGAGAGAGGAGGCATCAGGCATTTCTGTCTAACTGAGACAGATCCACTTCGGAAGAATTTTACTCAAATTCTGGCACGATTCAGTCCAGGCACTCCCAGGAATTCAAAGTATGTAAGACACAGCCCTTTCCTCAGGCATTTTATATTTGGATGGAGGCATAAGTTTAATAAAAATCACTTCATACAAGGCGGTGTTTACTAAAGTACTGAATTATATAAACAATGCACACTCCAGGAGTTCAGAGAAACACACGCTCTTCTGAATGAGCGGAGGAAAGCTTCGAAGAAGGAAAAGCAATATTTGAGACATGCCCAGGCCGATTGTGAGTGCTTAGATGAAAACAGCTCTTCTTTTTCCCTTTATTACTTCTGCATTTCTGTCCTTTTAAAATTAAATTTATTATGGTGACATCATACGTTTCAACTGTACAATATTATAATACATCGTCTGCATATTGCATTGTGTGTCCATCACCCGAAGTTCAGTCTTGTTCTCTCACCGTGTGTTTAACCCCGTTTACCCTCTTCAGTCCCCCAGCCCCCTTCCCCGCTGGTAACCACGACACTGTCGTCTGTGTCCATGAGGGTTTTTGTTCATTGGTTGGTTTTGTTCATTCATTTGTTGCTTTCTGGAAAACTCTTTTCTAGTCATGCTAATAGTTGCTCTGTAGCAATAAGGACCAAAATGTGATGAGAAAAAATCATGACATAATGATGATGGTGATGGTTTTCCTAGCGTGGACATTTACTAAACCCTTGCTCTGAGGTCAGAACTCTGCCAGATGCTTTCTCATACATGATTTCCAACCCTTCCAGCAACGCTAAAGGTCGATGCCATCCCTCTTTTACAGATGTGAAAACTGAGGCTTGGGCATGAAAGCACTGGCCCGCGGACACACTGACAACGAAAGACAGAGCCAGGCCACCCGCCTGAACGTCAGCTCTCCCCGCCAGCCCAGGCTGCTGTGTGTGTGTCTCATGGGCGCATTTCAGAACCGACAGCTTACAAGGCAGAAAGTCTTCCCTGAAAGTTTATTGTCTATACTTGTCGCCTCCAAGAAACATATCTGTGCAGAAAGGGGACATCTCAACAGCCTGCAATCAGGTGTCACTTTCTCAGGCTCATGGCCAAGGTACCACCCCATGAAAGATGTGCCTAGAATTTACCTTTCAGTTGTATCTTTGTAACAACAAACGAAAGCTGAAAAATATTTCAAAGATTTGATTGGTTTTCTGGAAATTCCCATGCAGGTTTACGAGTTCTTTTGATTGCATTTGGTATTGCAGGGCTAAGATCCTCACTGCCATTCTTACTACCGCGACAGGCATGTTCTTACATCTGCAGAAGCTTAAATGTAATAACAGAGCCTCTGTACATAGCACATCTTCTTTAAGGAGCCTCTTCACCTCAGTTTTCCCATCTGAAAAATTCATGTGAACAATGAACCGCAGCAGAAGAAAATGAGAAATGGTGATCTCAGGTAGATCCCTGCCCTGACTGTGCTGCTGGGAGGTAATACAGGAGAGCAGAGCAGTTGTGCTCCAACTTACTGAGACCCCCTTGATAAATTAGCAATTCTGAATCCTTTTGAGGTCGAGGGCCCCTTTGAGGATTTAGTGACGTTACGAATGCTCTCTTCTCCCCCAGTAAATACACACACACTGCACATACATGTTCTGATTTTACAGGCTTTTCTTAGGGGCTTCTATACCTTCTAATGTTTGCGTCAAAAGTGCTGCATTAAGAAAAATTGTGAGCACACACTGGGCTTTGCAGAAAAAAATACCCTGTTTAACTAGTGAGATCTTTTCCCTAATAGCATGAAAAATGACATGAGAAATATCATATGGACCATGAATCTGCCACTCCAACTTTTATATCTCTCTTGTTCCAAATCTTTTATTCCGCCTATGTTGTTTTTTCATTGTCTGGCCCCCTTAGAACAAGTTCCACAAGAGCGCAGAGACTTTGCCTTTCATCTACTGAACAATAGTAACTGGAAGAAGAGAAGAGCTCAACCATGATACAGAAAGAACCGTGTCCCCACCTTGAGAGCACTGAGCTACAAAATTTGCTGCCTTCTGTGTAAATGAATATTTGCTTTTATTTGTAATACAGTAGTCGGATGCTTTGTTTCAAGGGCTATCTTCTACCTGTATCCTTTTGAAATTTATTACTAAAACTGTATTTGGTTTTCAATGCTTTTACGAATTTTACTACTTTACTGTTTTCCTTTTTTATTTTTGTAGACTAATCTCTTTTCTCCCATCCAGTGACCACCATCTCCTTGATTGTTTCGGTTCCATTGACCAAGGATAAGATATATCTGAGGCATCAGTTTACAAAACTAAGTGAACAAAATGCAGCGCATGTAAATGACAACAAAGTCAATGTCAGTCTCTCCAACTACATGTGCTCGATCGGTCAGCTCGAAGCATATTGAAACAATGCAAATACTGACTATTGAGATATTAGCATGGATAAATATTTATCAATGGCAGCAGCTATGGAAATGTGCAAAGTACATGTGGCTTGGGTGCTTAAAACCTGTTCGTTCCCTCAAATGGTTCAAACACGGCCTCTGCAACGTCTTCCCATTTAAATCACTTCACAAGCCGTTTCTTCACATGTGGTGCAACGTCTATTTTAGTACTTGTTAAGTTCTCACAAATTTTGAGTTAGAAAAATATGAATTAATGAAGTTTCACTTTCCTTTGTAACCTGCATTCCTAGGTTTAATCAAAAGCAGTACTTTGGCTTTTTTTATTATTATTACTTAAAAGAAAAAAAATAGTGAAAACTACAACAAGTAACATTTGGCTGTACTGCCATTCACAGCTACCTCTTGAAGTTATAACCATCGATAATTTAGAAATCTATTTGAGGACAAATTTTAAAATTTAAGGCCAAATATATGCAGTTAACATTTGTAATTCTTTAGCACCCTACATTCACTGCCAGCAAACTTTCAACATATCTGGCTGATAAAGAGGTTGGCAGAGACCCCACAGGAACAGAAGTTAGCGATACAAAGTAAAGCCTATGGGAATTCACTGCTACTGGTTTTAGACTAGGAGCCTCAGTGAGCTCCTGCACTGAAATGACTTGATTTGTAGACAGTCGCACAATTATTCATAGCACTCGTGGCTGCAGGCTCCACGCCCTTGCATGAACATTCATGCATATCCGTGTTCACACGAGCAGTCATGCTCCCACATGTGCCATTGATTGACAGGAATGCTGCGCAGAGTTCGCTGATATAGAGATAGTGCGTGCAGCACAGGATTTGAGACAGCCCAGGGTTTCCTCTTCTAGTAGGTTTAATTTTTTTTTTTTTTTTCTCAGTAACTTCCTTCCTGTTCTAACTGCCAGTACTCAGAAGTCAGAGTTGAGAGACAGAGGCACCCCGGACAGAGACGTGAACCGCTGAATGTAAGTTGAAATACCGAGGGGTCGGGGAGGCTCCGGGTGGGTCAGAGAAATGCAGCCCTTTACAGCGTATGATCTTTTTAGAGGGGCAGTTCTTCTTTAAAAGAAACTTTCTGATAAGAAAGTACTAAGGAGGCTGCTGGAACAGCTCTGCAGAGAAGAGGAAGTCAGCCGGGAATGGCAGCAATGACTCAGGGGAGACAGCTCAGGGCGGGAGGGGAGAGCCGCAGCCCAGGAGGCCAAGCCCTGCACGTCCTGGACACGGGCTATGGGCGCGATCGCCGGGGAGTGTCCGTGCGCAGGGCTTTCCTACCAGGTGGGAGCAGGCATCTGGCCAGGCTCAGAAGCAAAAAGATTATAGATCCAAACTGATAGGAAGCGTGTTGGAGGATGGTGGGGTGGCGCTGGGGTGGAGATGTGCGGTTTCCTGTTTTTAAGTAGACTTAAAGAGACTGGCTGCAAAGGGAAAAAAGTGGTTCAAAGCTGTCAAACATTAAACTGCCTTCCACTAAAGAATTCTCTGGTGATAGAAGAGAAATGCATAGTGAAAGCCTCCCTTGGGGTACAATGGGATTTAACGATCAAGGAGGAAGTACGGTAGCTAGAATACACTGTTATTTACTCTCGGTCACGCAGGCATAGAATTTCTACCAGTAACAAAGCCTAGTATTAAATTCCTGCGGTGAGATGGGCAGGAGGTAATTGCTGTTGTTGCCAAATGTATGTATATATATAATGTCTTTACATCTGAAAGAGCGAGAAACAAAATACGGACGACACTGAATACTTTATTAAGAGATAGATTCTAGACAAATCCAAGTGGACCTAGCCGGGACACCTGGTCCATGGGTCTTCAAAATGTCAAGGTCTGAGTTTGGCTGCCATTAGAAGGGCTTTAGGCATCACCTGAAATACTTTCTTCCTTTTTCCAGGATGTCCCAGTCAACATGTTTTATAAACAGAGCCTGTAATTAAACCCTAGATGCAGGGTAACTTAAGGGGTGGGTCCAATAAACCCTTAGCTGGTCTCCTGTTCCAGGTGGGGGAAGGCAGGCTGCTCTCACATGGAGTTCCTATCATCACCCCTTCCCCTAGAGACCAAAAGCCCCTAAAATCAGGGTTAGCATGCTGGGTTCTCACTGCAGGTGTGGTCAAGCAAGAGAAAGCAAGAGATCTGTTTTGGCCCCAGAGAGCTTAGTCACAGGCAGGTATCATTCATGTTTGCCATTGCTTTGTCTGTTACATTTACAAGAAAATATCCCTCCCAATCCAGATATGACATAAGCACAATAAGGAGGTCATTTCAGCCTTTGGGGAGATGTGTGAAATTCTAAGGAGGTTTCAGTCTCCATCCGTGCTACATGGGCCCAGCACGTGGGGAGTCACCGTGCCACAGCCAAACAGAACCTGGCTGGCATCTTCCAGGCGCTGAAATTTGGTTCTTCCTTGTTTGAGGACGGCACGCATTTGTCCCCAGGGAAGCATGCTCCCAGCAACATCGAGGTTCTGTTTTCAGTGGACGCTCTGATGGGCAAAGTCAATGTGGCAGAAAAAATGAGGCCAGTTTATGGGAGCACAGTAGGTTACAAACTCCAGCTATCGGGAAGAGAACAGCCCTGGGGAGAAAAATATAGGCGGTTGAGAAAGCGCCAACCTATGTGGAGCACCTTCGATGTGTCAGGTCTGGTGTTAGAAACTTTTAAATTTGAATCCTGAGAGGACACAGGGAAGACAGCAGGCCTCAGAAATGTTAAGTGATTCTACTAGTCACACACTGGTAGAGGGTAGAAAAGGGACATCTACAGTGCCTGAGAAGGTCGTTTTAGGAAATGTCCCATGGGAGAACTTTCTTTAACCCCACATTCTGAGCATCCTGTTCCTGGGTCAGTGGTGTTGCCTCCGGGGATTCTAGATTCGAGTCCACACTGGCAAATCCAGAGATGGGTCTCATGTTGCTACTAAAACATAAGCATTTGTTCATTCAATAAGCACTCAATTGTCCTGTGCTGTGTTACACTCTGATTTCCAGAGCCAGAGCTCGTTAAAATTCACATGGGTTTTCTTCAAGGGAATGATATTCTGAGCACAAGTGGTCATAAAGAAAAGTCTTTACTTCTGTCTAACTTTTCACACTTCATTTAAGACTGTAAATGTATTGAATTACTGCAGTACAGTCTTCTACCCAACAACGGCTTCCTTGATGCAGTTTTCTTTAAGGACCTGCTAGAAGAAATATCTGTGAAAACGCCTCGCGCAGTGACTTCCCACGCTAGACACAGAAAAGTTTAAGGGAAGTTGAGTTCTCCCTCCTTTTGCACATGAATCTTGGGGAGAGAAATGGACTACTATGAATGCACAGGCAAGAAACAATGTGCTGTTTCTCCCACCAAAGGAAATGTAAAAGAATTCTGCTTCTAGGGATCTGTACCCTCTTCAGGATTTAATGTAATGTTACTGTGTCTAACCAGGCATCGTCCTCTCAGGCACTGGGCTGGTTCTTTTCACCCAGCTTTGCAGTTTTGAATGTTCTTCATGGAGCTGAGGTGGTAAAGAGGAGCCCCAGGGACCCCAGGAAGCACCAGCTCCTCCATGTCACTGGGGAAGGCTGAGACGCCAGGGAGGACTCCAAACCCCAGGCAGCTCTGGTGTGCCAAGGGATAAACTCTCATGCCCCAAATAAGCCAAATCCCCGAGCAGGCGGCAAAGCAGACCCAAATCCCTGGCTGGCTCTGAAATGTGCTCAATCCTTCAGAGATGACCCGACTCTCCGTGACCTGCTCTAGAGCTATAGCCCCCGATATGGGGAAAGTAGGTCTGCATCAGGTCGGGAGTGGGGGGGAATGTTGATGCTTACTTCCATAGGTACTTCTCTGCTGGAAATCCCCTCCTAGTACTTCCACATTTCTCTCTCCCCCTTCCTCGTCTCTGCCTCTTTTATCTAATATCCGTGGCCTATGCTTCCAGATGCACGATCTGGGGACTTTAGGACACGAGTCACGTTTTGCTCCAGAGTCAGAGGGAATTCTCTCCATTAGCTGTGCTTTTCTCATCACTCATAGAATGACCTCTGGCTTCAATTATGATAGGGAGCAATAAATAGAATCTAAAATTAAATTGTTCGCGTGGAAGTTTTGTAGAGAAATAAGATAGTGACAGTCCCATTTTAAGGCTGATTCAGTTAATAAACAGTCTTTGCCATTCCCAGGACTTCTTGTCTCCTCTGTACTCCTCAAAGAAACAAAATCTATTTTTAAGAAGGAAGGAGTGGACATGGTCAACACCGCAAATCTAAGGGAAAGCATCTGGTGCCTGGGCAGTCAGTTACCACTCTTCACCAAAGCTGGACAACAAAACAGACGGTACTGTAGGGAAGGGAGAAGAGTAAGGGAATGGATAGTTTTGTCTTGTTTTGTTTTGTTTTTTAAATATATCTTTATTGGTTTCAGAGAGAGGAAGGGAGAGATAGATAGAAACATCAATGATGAAAGTCATTGATCAGCTGCCTCTTGCACGGCCCCCACTGGGGATTGAGCCCACAACCTGGGCATGTGCCCTGACCAGGAATCGAACCTTGATCTCCTAGATCCTAGGTCGATGTTCAACCGCCGAGACACACCCAGCCGGGCTGGATAGTTATTGAACATCTACTATTCGTCAGTGTCGTCCTAGAACTTATCATAGGTTTTCTGCTACTCTTCAACCCCATAAAAAAAGATTAATCCCAGCTCACTGGTGGTAAAACTTGGGCTCAGTGAGGCTGATAACTTGTTTAAGTCCTGTAATAAGTCAAGAGCAAACCACATTTTGAATCTCTGACCCATCAAACTCCAAGTCCATGCTCCAGTAGACATGAAACTCACTTTTCTCTGAATTTACCAGGTGATTCGTTTCATCTAAAGTCAACAGTTTCACCTCTTCTTTACCCTCACCTTATTTGGAACTGCACTAATGAACCAGACAGTGTGCTCTATCCTGAGATTGGTGCAAATTCATAAATGTATTTCACTTTCAGTGCCTTGGAAATTCCACCGAATTTGCAAGTGAAAGCATCAATTTGTGCTATGTCATACTCAAGCCATGAGTAACCATCTTAATTTCATTAGGCATTTTAGTTGAGCTGGAGAAAATGATTAAGTCTCCACCACAGCACATCCAACCCTTGTCATTGTTTCAGTGAACAGCAGGTGCAGGGGTGTGAAGGTTGCACTGTGAAAATTCATCAGTATATAGGGATCAAGAATGGAGAAAACTGAAACAGTAAGCACGTGAAAGAAGCCACATATGCTCTGGGACAGAGCACTAACCTCATTAAACATGTAATTGTTAATTCTCCATTTCGTTTTTCCAGTGTAAAGTATCAAAGTCAAAAACAACACGCAGACAAACAAACAAACAAAAGAACCCTGTTCTTAGTGAAACAGTGGGCGAGCGAGAAGGTGAGAAGAGCCCAACCAGATGGTCGGCGCTGATGGGCTGGGTGCTTCGCGACCCCACCTCCACTTCCTCTTTTTCTTTCTCATTTCATAGACTTCTTTACATTTGGAAGCATTAGGATCACTGGATTAAGAAGGGGCCTCAGGGACCATCTAGTGCACAGATTTAATTTTGCAGAGGATGAACGTGGAGCTCAGGGAGATTCAGAGGCTTGCTCAAGGGGACAAGGGGCAGAGTTGCCCTGAAAGCCTCGCTTTGCTAACGCCATCCCTGCAGAGTGCTGCACAGAAGAATCTACCTCTGCCTGTGTGCCCCAATGGATTCCCAAAATGTCTGGCGTACTTTATAATTTTATTGTTACTTCTTAATAAAGACAACTGAAGCAACAGAGCGTAGTAGCTAAAAGCCAGACAACCTAAGCTCTGTCCCTTACAGAATATATCTTCCTGAGGAAGTTATTTACCTGAATCTGTAGAAAAGTTTCCTAATCTGTAGTGAGGATTAAGTGAGGTAATCCTCATGAAAGCATTTAGCTCTGTAAGATAGTTATTATAATCACCATCAATAATAAATCCAATTCTTTAGAAGATGAGATTAGAAAATGGCCTATAAAATTTCCATGAAATTTCAATTTTTACTTTAGCAAGCACCCAAAAGAAAACTCCCATTTGTGGCTAAATAAACACAAATACATAGTTTGGGAAATCATCGTCAAACTATTTAGACCATTTATAGCTGGGGCTTTGGGAGAATCTGAGATTCCCCGGAGATAAATTATGAAATTTGAAATGTAGCACATTTTGGAGGATTCACATACATTTGAAATCCTAAAACAGCCCGGCCAGGCGTGGCTCAGCGATTGAGCGTCAACCTAGGATCCAGGCGATCGGGGTTCGATTCCCGGTCAGGGCACATGCCCGGATTGCGGGCTCGATCAATGGCTCTCTCATCATTGATGTTTCTATCTCTCTCTCTTCCTCTCCTTTCCTCTCTCTGAAATCAATAAAGATATATTTTTAAAAAAAGAAAAAAAGAGAAAAAAATCCTAAAACAGAGATATAATCTCTTATATACACAGTGACAGAAATAGGGTAACTGAATGCCAGCTTAGCTGACACTGACTTCAAGTCAGGAGAAACACGCAGATAGAGGCCTTAGAAAAAGAAAGCACCTAGATGTGTTCTGCTCTCACCCCTCACCTCCCCAGATGAGGAAAGAAAGATCCAGAGTAGTTGAATCATTTGCTCAGTGAGGTCACAGCTAGTTAGTAGCAAAGCCAAAAACAAAACCTATGGGTGATGAAGCTTAATTCAGTGAAGAAATAATAATCCAGAATCAAGTAGATGGGCCACAGAATGCTTCTCCTAAAGGCCTGCTGCCTGGGCACCTTTGTTCCTCTGCCAGACCTGTGGTCATGTTCCCTCAGATGCAGATGTTACCTGATATCGCCTCCTGCTTCTATACACCCAACAATTCGGGTTTATGAACTTGATCCTTAGCTTGAGGCTAAGTTGTGTCACTGGTCTACCAGGCCCCAGAGAGAAGGAAACTTTCTCAACTCTGTTTCATATTTCCAAAAGTTACAGTTTCAAGGTTATGTTCCTAACCCTGGGCTCCAGTAAAGTCTGTGAAGCACTTCAGGGGTCCATGAACCCCTGAATTGCATGTACAATTTCATGGGTTTATTCCTTTTTTTCCTTTTATAAGCACCATGACTTTTATTATATGTTTAAAGAGACCTGTAATCTCCAAAAATCAGTCAAACCAGCTGGGCCTTCTCTGTGCGATTAGATTGCCCACCCTCCAACCCTTTCTTCACTTGGAAGAGCAACTTAAGCATCGGTATATGCTAAAGCATGGTGTCTTGCAAACAGCAAGTTCACCAAATTTTTGTGACCTAGTTTTGCTTTAAAGGGGCTTTCCATGAGAACTGCTTTTCCAGTCCACTATTTGCTATAATATGACATTTTCATCTTTTTCTAACCAGCTTACTAGAGTGAACTGGTTTTGGATTGTCTGGCTTCATACCTCTTTTTCCTATGCTATGTAATTAGACTAAATTATTTTAATGTGGTCCTGAGTGTCCTCCTTTTGACTGCAACAAATTCATTCAGTAATCCCACACTACCCTCTGCTCTTCGATGTCTTTAAATAAATTGGTGTCTCATTTTTATGGAGCAATGATTGTATCTGTTTGCAATGAATTAAGGAAATTTAGAACTGATAAAAGTTCTATTTACTAATGAGGTCAAGATCTAGATGACAGATAGATTGACTTGCCAATGATCATCATACTTTAGAGGTTAGCAGATCCTGTTCCAGATCAGATCTTTCTCTGTCTCCATCTCTCTCTCTCTTATTCACATTTCAAAATTGAGATGCAAGGGTGCAGAATTACAGTTCCCTGCAGGTTATTGAAATCACCTTGAGCTGGTTAGTGGCTGGGTGTGAAGTCTAATAGTCAAGACTTCAAGCAGAGGACTTGTTAGAACCATGTAGCATATTCCAGAAAGGCCTGTCCATGGGGGTTGAGATACCCTCATGTGTAGATAGCCTTCCTGATGCTCCATCCACAAGTTTGTTACGTGACCTCCACCTTGGGGATCTGGACAGGCTCCTGGGTAATCAACAGGCGAGAACCTGTCTCATCTGATCGGTCTCTTCTGGGTCGCTCTTCATCTGCCCCTTAATGATTGTCCTTAAACTACCCACAACTACAACCTCTGCCCACTGCATCCTTCATTGTTTTTCCAGCCAGTTCATTCATTTTCTTTGAGTTTCCTTTGGAACATGAGCTGAGTTAGTCACTGTGTTTATTGTGCTGTTCTCTAAATGTTGAACTCTGAGTGGTGCTGGCTCTTCAGCTGAGGCAGGAGTTGCTATAGGAACAGGCCTACATGCTTCCTTCCTGCCCAGGAAGCGGGCCTGGGCATTGCAACGCTGTTTGCAGAGTTGATCAAGGCTCATCGCATTTGGCTTGTTATTTTGCTAGAAGAGAATCAATGAGCCACGAGATACCATTTTCCTTTCCTTTCTTTTTCCTGTTAAAATTACTTTTTATGTATCTTTACTTCCAAGTTATTGTTCTTCCTGTTGCTAAGGATAGTGACTTTGAAACTCAAAACCACAACTGATTTTGGCCCGAGATAACTTCACTGTCAGGGCGCATTACAGAAGTTTGCAGTCACTCAGGATGAGGGGTGATAGATACTGTCTTACAGCTGTGCCACTTTGAAGCAATGATGCCTTTACCCACAGGCAAGGAAGGAGTCACCCTCAGGGTAAAACTGATAGAAATTAGAAAATTATCTCTTTGCCCAAATGTCTCCATTGTTTCCCTAAATAGCTCCAGCAATGGGGCTTGTGACAGGGCCTGAAATTCTTACAGTAGAGACTTTTTTCCCTCTTTATTAGGACATTGCATCTCATCAAGCTATGTGAACTTGGGCAATTCTCTTACCCTTTTGATTTCACTTTTCTCAATGATTAAGTGAGGAGTTGGAATATGTCACCTCTAAGGTTCATTTCAGCTCTGAAAAGCTCTGACCATACATGCCTTAAGAGGAATAAATTTTAAACCTATTATTCAGTCATTAACACTTAGGGAAGACTCCAGGGTATGCTTAGGAAAGGTCTTGGAGCATAAGGTCACCGAAAATCTGGGGAGGGGTGGGAGGTACTAAAAGAGAAGTGGGTCCAGAAAAGGAAGATTGATGGAGGGATACAAAAGTCATAGTTGCAATGTTGTCTAGAAAAATTTAGAGTCCTTTGAGATATTGCGTCATTTCAGAAGAACAAAAGATCTTTAGATATAGAACCTAGTAAATCAATAGATGAATATTTATCAAATGCCTGAAGTATCCAAGTGTTATGGGAGATTCAAGAGAAACATAGAACCTAATACCTGCCCTCAAGGAATGATGAGTTGTGTTGCGATGAAACCCCTCAGATACCTCAGGCAGGTATCATGGGGGCCTACAACTTTTCATGAGTTACCTTTGAGGTATTGCAGGAGTTCAAGGAAAGAGTCAAGTAATGGGAAGAAGCCAACTTTCTTTGGCAAGCTCTCCACCTGTCTCTTGAAACCACCATATCTGGGATTGTACATGCTGAGAGCTTTGACACTGGCAAGGCTGGCTGGGTTTGAAGGACTGAGATAATTTCCATAACTATTCAAACTGGGGCTCTTGGCTCAATATCCAGGCCTGCTTGTGCTATTCTGCTTCACTTGTAGCATATAACTCACAAATGAACTTTTCTTTTGTCCGTTTTTTTCAGTGAATAGGAGGTACCCATCACAGTACAAAAAAAATCAGGCATGGCAGAGAAAAGACTGGAATGCATTATATTCTTATTTCATGAAATATAACAGGTGAAATTAGGGAGATGTCTCCTGGAAAATCACTGACAACTCCGGAAGCCCGTTAGGGCAAAGGTCATGGCAACAGCACCCTCAGAAGCGTTGTTCAGATACGCTGACTCTTGGCTAATGGACTGTATTATCCTCTCTCTCGGACAGAGACCAAAATGACTGAAAAGGCCCCAGAACCACACCTGGAAGAGGAGGAGGAGGAGCTGGATGGGAAGCTCAATTACAAGCCTCCCCCTCAGAAGTCCCTGAAGGAGCTGCAAGAGATGGACAAAGATGATGAAAGTCTAACTAAGTACAAGAAAACGCTCCTGGGGGATGGCCCTGTGGTAGCAGGTGTGTGTGCAGGGGGGATGGGGCCCCGTGCAGGGTCGCAGACAAGGCCTACATTCAGCTCCTGGGCAGCAGGGCGAAGGAAAGGGCACCGAGTGCTTCCCGGGCTCAGGGAGCGGGCCAGGCTCTGTGTGTGCTCAGGACAGCGATGGGCTGTATGATTAGGTCTGCTCTGGAGAGAAGGTGGAGGTCAGCACTGAAACAAGGAAACACAAGGCACAGGGAGGACTTAGAAAGATTTCAGATCGCCACTGAGAACTGTGTTCCCTCCCTTGGGTCACATTTTCTCTGGTCTCCTATTTCTCCCTCCCACCCCTTTCCTCACCACTCACCCCTTCCGCACACCCTGTGGCCGAGGAAGACAAGGCCAGAGATAGGGAGGGGCTGTGCCCAAGCAGGAGAGCACCTTACCTTGCCCGCAGTCCCTCGGGAAACCTTTGCTGTTTATAACTAAGACGGACCTGCAAGTGCCCGAAGCAGAGAATAGCATTCCTGGGATTTATGAGGCCCTCGTGATGAAACGCACTGAACCTACCGTTGCCGTTTCTATCTCTACTGCAGATCGAGATAGCACCTTTCTTTTTATCTTCTCCCTCTCCTACTTGAAATGTGCACGCACACGCGCGCACGCACACACACACACACACACAGTACTATACGTCTCTTCCCTATGCTTACATTTCGTTTTGAATCCTGCAGACCCCAAAGCCCCCAATGTCACTGTCACCCGCCTCACCCTGGTCTGTGAGAGTGCCCCAGGACCGATCACCATGGACCTCACCGGTAAGTGGACACACCTGTTCTGTTCAAAGGGAGCTAATGATACCACTGGAGAAGCTTCCTCTTTGTCCCCTATCCCCGAAAAAGGAAACTAGCAAGGTGAATCCCTGAGATACATGTGCGGGGAACAGCTCACAAATCACCCTCTCGGGGTGCACAGTACCGGCCGTGCTTACTGATGGCCCAACCCCTGTCTCTAACTGAAGAGAGTGCAGGCATAGGGACTGGACAGAGTTACTTGTATCAGATTTACTTCAGGTTTTTATCTGCCCATGATACCAGAAGTATTATTCATGTAAAAAGATGGAAATATTAAGAAGCGCGTTGTATGCTTCTGGAATTGTATTTACACAACCTAAACGTCAGAGACAGTATTGGTCTTACATCAGCTATAACTTACCTGAAGGCAAGAAGCAATTTAAGACCTCTTGAACAATATTAGAAATTCCACTGTTAAATACGTATTATTTTAACTTAAAGCTCTGATTCTTTTAAATAACCCACTCCCCAACCCCTCACAAAATGTACAAATTAAGATGCTAAGGTGGGCATCCGAGAGAAATGAGGACAGGGCCACAGAGCTAGGAGGTTGGACCATTAAAAGCAAGCCTTCAATAAAAAAATAAAGTATTATCAGATTCAAAAAGTGAACCCTTAAGACAGAGCAAAGCATGGCTCTCAAGCAGTAGGCTTAGCAGCAAGGTGGTTCCCCTCTCACAGAACATACCCACTCTTTACCTTATATGGGCTCTTTTGTCAGAGGGAGGAAATCAGAGGTTGAGAAGATGCTTCCTCTTCAACTGAAATCATTAGAGCAGACACACAAATTCAACTACCCCCCACAGACGAGCGTCTCTCCAGGAGAGATGCGCTCGCTCACTCACCAGGACTCAGGCTTCTTCCGGTGTGAAATTGTGTAACGTGACCAGGTACAACTGTCATTTTGTAAGATAAGGCCTGAATGAGCACTAAAGAAACTTGTTCTTTTTAGAAGGTCTTGTTCGATGTTACTGCAGAAAAATCTTGGTCTCCGTCCCTTTTTCCAGCACAGGGAAACCCAGATTTGGTTTTCTGTCACAAAGAGGCTACTGAGATGAACCCCAGATATATGTAGTATGCTGGTACCAGCCCTGTGCATGAAGCATGTGCACAGAGTTGTGCAAAACACACACACACGCTCACTCCTGAATGTCCAATGATACAGGTTCACATGGGGAAAACAGAGAATGATTAGCTCCCCAACCAGGGTGCAGGAATTAAGGGCAGATCCCAGTGTTATGGAACCTGAAGCTTTTATAACTTAAGTGACTTTCCTTAAGAAAAATAATATGAAATTGTAAGTGCAAAATTAAGTGCAAAAGCAAAAAATTTATTTAAAGTGATAAAAAGGAATCAAAACAGATGGATTTCTAAAAGCTAGAAAATGCCACAAACATGATCAAATCTAAAAAAGTACAAATAGCTGGTATTCTTATGTAATACTTTTCCTGTATTTCTTTATTTGAGGTGCAGGTGCATATTCTTTAATTCTTTAATCATCTTTTTGTTTGATCACGTACATGTATTGTCGTGTTCAATAGAGAGTATAGAGAGATTGTCCAGTCTGTCCTCAGGGTGGTTGATTAAAACTTGTTTTTATTGTTGACAATTAGAAAAGACATTTTTTGTACATAACTCATTTCTGGTGATGCTTTGTATACTCTTAGGGCTGTTGTCAAACTAAGTCACATTTCTTTCATATCTAGCTGAAAGATTTCAGGCATTTCAAGTGTGCATTTGTGCAGCCACTAATCTCAAATATTCTTAAGAGTTGAGGGCCATGTAGTCCATGCTGCTCCAATGGGCCCAGCAAATAGCTCTGGAGCTTAAACTTCATTCATCAACTTTCGTATCTCCTTCTGAGGGAAATAAACTCTTTCTAAATTCACTTTTACAGGGGATCTTGAAGCCCTCAAAAAAGAAATTTTTGTGCTAAAGGAAGGTGTTGAATACAGAGTGAAAATTTGCTTCAAAGTAAGTATCTTGCCCTACATGTTTGATAAAGTTTAAATCCTTCCTACAATCAAAGAAAGAAAAAACCAAATTTCTTGTATTATCACCTTGGCATACTTTTTGGCTTTTTCTCTTTTTTTTCCCCCTGGAGATAGTACTGTCTTCTCCAACTCTGGGCTCTTCCCACTGAGACACACCCTTGCCTCCTGTCTTTTCTCAACCAGGACCTCCTCCATTAATCTCTTAAGCCAACGGGATCCTCTCCCTATGAACTCCTGATGCTCCCATCCATGAGGCACACACTGTTTTGTATTGTACCATTTATGTTTTTTCTCTCCTATACTGCCTAAGCACCTTGAGATGGGGAGAGGTTTTATATCCCTTCTTTCTAATAATTCAAAACTGTGTAAATGGTAGGTATTTAGTGAATATTTACTGAGAAATAGATAAATGAATCACTTAATAGGAAAAGAAAATAAAACATATATATAGCCTCAGCTCTAAATGCTCAATAATTATATAGAGCCAGGGAGTGTGGTTGTTTGTAAATAACTGGAAATTACAATTTGGTTGTCGGGCAGGTGACTAGGTAAGCACAAAACTAAATAGGAGATACACCGACGTAGAAGGAAGTAAATGCCCCAGTGAGCAGCCAAAATCAAGAAGAAAAATAACCTTGACTTTGAGGATAAGCAAGTCAGAAATTCATTGTTTGCTCTTAATTGCTTATATTTACCTTGATTGCCCTCATTCCCTCCAGACCTGGGATCCACCAAGGAGAGCCCCACCTCCCTCTTTATTTGCACACCAGGCCTTTCTTTTCCCTGGGTGCAGGGTATGAGTCAGGGTCCATCAACAATCACCCTCCACCTCCACAAATATGCCTCAGAATAGTTTCATTCTGAAAATATTTGTCGATGCTGACTCTATAATGGGCACTGAGCTACGGTTCGCTTCCTGGTTTCCTGCAGTGCTATTTATTGCTAAAGCACCTGAGAGTGTGGTAAGGCATTGTACCCAAATACGCCTAGACTAGGTTACACAGCAGTCTGACTTTCAATCATTAATGCTACTGCCTTAATTTGTCAATTTAGTAAGCCAGTTTTTATCAAATCAGATGAAACATGAAGGCAAATACTGATGTAAATGAGATGAGAAAGATGTGGAGCATGCACTTCTGTGTGGGGAGGCCGAGGAGGAATCAGGGGTGTGGGTCCTTGGTAGTCAGGGTTACACGTTAAGGTGATGGGGGAGGAGGGCACAGAAAGGAGTTTTCTAGTCCCATCCACTCCAGAGGTTTGGCCTTGTCTCTGACCAGAGGAAGATCATTCTCTTTGGTAACCCACGTGAAGCTGAACCCCCTGCGGCCTGCCCCAGCGTGGAGCTACAGTTGGAAGGAACACCAGTTCAGAATGAAAAATAATTGAAAAGCAATGATACTGACGTCTCTTTTAGAATGTCCAAGAAAGTTTGCGTGTATAACACCAGCAACATACCCTAAAACCCTCTCTTTTTTTTTTTATCTCTCTTAGTTACTCTCAATGTTCTTCTCTTTCTCCCCCAAAACTTCACAATGCTCTTCCAAAATTTGGCCTAGGATCTCTCTTTTAGTTTCTGCTTTTCTTTCTTCTGTATCCCGAGGAAAGGTGGTATGTCTGACCTCCACTGCTCTCATTTCATTCATATCACCAACGCTGCTTCGGCCTGGTGTGGCAGAGACAATGGGGAAGGGCGTTCAAGCAGAAGAAGAGATACCAGGAATATTCATACCTTCCTTCTATCCACCTCAGACATACTTATTTAAATGGGCATTCCATGGGGCAGTAGGCAAACAGGAAACTGTTCTGAGGGCTTTATCTCTACATTACCATCATTCCTGATTTTAGGACTTGTTCCCTTCAGACCACATCTGCTACAAGGCCCAGGGGGCCAGTTTAGGGGCTGCTAGAAAGATCCATTCATTTTCCCTATTCTTGTGAGCCACATGTGGGAGTCAGAGTAATTAGAAAATTTGAGTTTCATTTTATCACAGCTTCTTCAGTGTGTTTCCATTTTATCTGCTTTTGATAAGTTATATGGCAGATTTTACAGAGCAACAGTCTAGAACCTGAGCTGACAGTATTCACTGCTGTGCCACCTCACTACCAACAATGCACCACAGAGAGATTGGTTTAATTATTCTGTCCAAAACAAAAAGGGAGCCATAATTACTGCTGGGGAGAAATCATTTGAAGATGTTTAAATTCTTCATATTGGTGGACAATTAACCAAGCCTTCCAGCTAGTGATGCAATGGCCACTTCAGTTTGTTTGTATGAACATGACCACCATGTAAAGTTAACAGACAACCCAGTTCAGTGCTAGGTAAAATGACTAATGGAAAAACAAAGTACTTGGACTGTTTATATTTTCATTCTGCTTTAGTGGATTTTCTTTGAAAGGCTTGGGAAAGTATCACGACCTCAGACAACGTCTGAAAATGACAGACAACCAAAATACTTGCCAGACACAAGTGGCTTTTACCCATTATTTGTCTATAGGGAGGAGGTTTCCGTGTTGCCCATCTCCTCAGCTCCAGACCTCCAAATACATCTACATTACGAGCACAACCATCCCCTAGACCTGATTTTCCATTACGGCTTCTCTCGTTATTGTTTGGTTTTCATAGGCTAGGTGGGTCATTTTTCAGGTTGAGATTTTCAATATTTACATAATATTTTCCATTGGTAGTTCTGTTAGCTTTCCTAAGACAAGGATGGTCTTCTGGCCAGTAGTATCAGGGAGGGGGAGCTCAAGACCATTCTTTGGACCATTGAGGAAGGAGAAATATAGTGAAGAATATTGAAACAGTGTTTTAATTAACCACCCCCTCCTCAATCTAAAAATCCCAGTTTTCAAGAACCGGATTGGAAACATTGAGTCTTGTGAACGCCTCTCTCTAACCTCCGCCTGCCCCACCCCCATACTAAATAATAGCAACACTTATTCTGAACTAAATCTTTAGTCTTCTTATCCTCAGAGGAGACCCCGCTCGGTAGGATCAGAATGAATAATGAAGAGAAATGAAAGAGCCTGTTTAATGTGAATTGCTTGGATCCTTCCCACCCGCAGGTGAACAGAGATATTGTGTCCGGCCTGAAATATGTTCAGCACACCTACCGGACTGGGGTGAAAGGTAAGGGACCTATACTTTACACTGTCCCAAAATCTGCCTCTCAATGATACTTCATCTTCTGTTTTTTAGGAAGCTTTAGGCATAGACTCATTTAAGAGTCCGATAAAAAGCTGTGGATGCTCACCCTAGGAAAGGGCACACATACACCTCCGACCTAGATGTTGATAGCAGGACCCACATTCAGGAGACATAGTTTAGATGGGGTCAGCCACTAACCTTGGGCATCCAGCTTCTGGAATTCAACCTTATTATTCATAAAGAGGAAGAGTAATCAAGATAAGGTTGAGTAAAATAAAGTATATAAAAGTACTTTCAAAACTAAAAAAAAAAATGGACACAGACAATAGTGTGGTGAAGGCCTGGGGGTATGCAGGGTGGAGGCTGTCAATGGGGGAAAAGGGGGACATCTGTAATACTTTCAACATTAAATAAGATTTAAAAACTAGGAATATTTAAAAAAAAAAAAAA